TTGAGTTCAAAGACATTCCAGAGAAGTAATAAACTAGACACCACATTCAACAACAAAAAACATGTAGCAGAATACATTTTGACCTAAATTTATGACAACATTTTAGTTTTTTTGATATTTTTTGACAAATTTTTTAAACATTTTTTTCTCAAATGTTTTTGTTTATAGCACCAAATATAAAAAGCGCACAGGTGATCAAATACCATGAAAAGAAAGCTCTATTTGTGTGGGGGAAAAAAAAGGACATAAATTTAATTTATGTACTGTATTGCATGACCGTGCAATTGTCAGTTAAACTAGTGCAGCGCTGTATAGCAAACAAAATGGCGTAAATTGCCGAATCTATACCATAGTTTGTAGACGTTATAACTTTCACACAAAGAAATCAATATACACTTTTTGGGATTTTTTTTTTACCAAAAACATGTAGCAGAATACATTTTGGCCTAAATTTATAACTAACTTTGAGTTTACTATGTATTTTTTATAGCCGAAAGTACAAAATATTGTTTTTCTACAAAATTTTCAAAAAATGTTTTGTTTATAGCGTGAAAAATAAAAAGCACACAGGTAATCAAATACCACCGAAAGAAAGCTCTATTTGTGTGAAAAAAAAGGACGTAAATTTCGTTTGGGTACAGCATTCCATGACCGCGCAATTATCAGTTGAATTAGTGCAGCGCCGAGTAGCAAAAAGAGGATTGGTCATTAAGGGGGGTAACTCCTCTAGAGGGCAAGTGGTTAAATGTGTAAAAAAAAAAAAAAAAAAAAAAAATTCAAAATGACTCTGGCAGCAACATGGTTAATATTAGGAAAAACATTTTACTAATCCACATAACACATACTGTATATCCACCATAGTCAACTAGTTTTATACAGGGCAAAACCTATTATATCTTGATAGTGTAGTGTATTTGTGTTCAGTGGAAACAAATTTGCTTGATCAGTAGGTATACCATAGAAAGATTTTAAATTGGAGCATGGTTGCAATTATTACCCTTTTTGTTAACAGTGCCAGAGAGGCAGAACATTATAAGAGCCTATTGTAAAGGCTTGAACTTGATTAATTTTCACACAGTATCTAAAGGGAAAGCTGTACTTGCAAAATTTTTTTTTTTTTTATGATGCAAACATCTTGTAGGGAGGGGAATGGTTTAACTTCAAATCCCAAGGCAAAATATAATTCTCCTCTGATCTCAAGAGACAGATGTAAGCTACTTTCTGCTGTACCAGCTATCTTACAAAGAGAGGGTCTGCAATAACAAAAAAAAGTGCTTGCTGGCATGAAAGTGTGTCCCATATTTGTGAAAGATGTGCTGTGTAAGGAGAAGATGCTGTTAGCCAATTAATGCTTTTAGTATAATCCCAAATCATAATTGGTTTTATCCTTATAAACAAAGTCACTTAGGACAAATTGTTCCCTTGTTGAGCTAGGGTAAACCACGTTGCATTTTTGTTCTTTTTTTTGTACTGACTTCTACTTGCCAAATTGGACAACAAAATGTTGGGTTATAGATTTTGTGTTTATGGTTTGTGTATTGCAGATTTCCATGACATGCTGATTTTCTATAGGCTAGAAACGGCAATTTAAATGCGCCTGAGTCTGTATTATTGATCAGCAAGAGAGGAAAGTTGTGCTTCGCTGACATAACCACAGTTGTAGTGAGATACCTTGCTTAGCAAAACAACTTGTGCTGAAGACATTCTGACAGCTGTAGTTTTCTCGAATTTCTAAGAAACTGCCTCAAAAGAGCAATTCATCAACAAATAGATAATGTGCTGAATGGTGAAAAACACAGAAAGCTGATTGCTAAGGGATAAGCAAACAAAATTTATTGGTATTCGCACGAGTTGGCTGTAACAACCACTATACCTGCTTGTTTTTGCTTTCATTCCTGTGGGTTTGCCATCCAATCATACCTCAACTGAATTTATAAGTTTCTTTCAGAAAATCTAGCAGATTTGATTTGTGCTGTTTCAACTCCAGAGATTCGAAGGCAACCAAACATCTGATATCTTTGCATGTCTTAAAGCAATTATTTGATATTGCAGACTTTTATTCATTTTGTCAGATGTATTTCTGGATTTAAATGACTATAAAATCAAACTGCATTAGCAGTGTAAAATTTTTTTTTGTTTTTTTTTTTTTGGTTTTTTTTTTTTTTGGTTTTTTTTTTAGAATTGATATATTGTGATTTGGGGACTTGTTTTTATTAACATATATCTAGAGAGTGTTAAGTTCTTTATGGATTTGTATGCTTTTGTTGAATGTGAGTCCCTTTATCCATCTAATTTTTGATCATGGATCAAATTAGTAATATATATATATATATATATAGTAATTTCTTTTATCATGTCACCTGGAGTGAGTAGCTGAGAAAAGAATTCTCTCTGCCCCCTTTCACCTGTTCATTGTAATCTGTCTTTCCAAGTGTAAAATGTTAAAAACAATACCATTGCAGCATTTTCCTCTTTCCAGAGTGGCTTTAGAACTGCGTCCCTGCAATTTAAATATCCTGTTCAGTCCCCCAAGGCAGTGTCAAGCTATGCATCCTCCTTCACATGACTGCCTCTATCCTGCCCAACTTTGTCAGATCAATGTTTGATATAGTCTACACACTGGCCACTTTATTAGGTACACTGTGCTAGTACCAGGTTGGACCCCCTTTTACCTTCAAAACTTTCTTAATTCTTCATGGCATAGATTGGAAACATTTGTGGCACCAAAGGTGTTGGAAACATTCCTCAGAGATTTTGGTCCATATTGGCATGAGTTACTGTTGCCTTTTTATCCTCTCGAACCAGTCTGCCCTTGCATCTCTGACATCAACAAGACATTTTTGTCCACACAACTGCTGCTTACTGGATATGTTTTCTTTTTTTGGACCATTCTCTGTAAAGCCTAGAGATGGTTATGTGTGAAAATCCCACTAGATCAGCAGTTTTTGAAATACTCTGACCAGCCCGTCTGGCACCAACAACCTTGCCACGTCCAAAGTTACTTAATTCTCCTTTCTTCCCCATTCTGATGAATACAATTGGCCGGTGAGTGTATATGTCAGTAAAAATTAATATGAATATGAATGAAAACTAAAAGAGTCACTGTTAATGGAAAAAAAAAAATCAGCAGCAGAATAGTAATCTGGGAAGGAAAGCATTAATAAGGGTTGATTATGGGTAGTCACATAGGTTAATAAGTTACATTGGATTGAAACACCGCTACATCTGGTTTTCTGCTCATGAGCCACCAGAACCTTACAGCTTGCTACTTTTTACAATGCCATAGAAATGTGTTCTAATACACCAGGGGTCTCCAATCTATGGCCTTCCAAGTGTTGAGAAACTGCAAGTCCCATGATGCCTTGCAAGACTCTGACAGCCACATGCAGGACTCCCAGAGGTAGAGGCATGATAGGACTTGTAGTACATCAATAGCTTTACCTTTCAACCCTTACAGCATTGTCCATATCATCAGCACACCCTGTTACCGGCAGCCATTTAGTAAACACATGGTAGGCCTTCCTGCAACTCTTCTTTGTTTGTGTATGTCGGTTTTTCATAAATATTCCTGACATGATATTTGGGACTTGGATGTGCATATTTGTGTGTTACTATACTAGATTCATTCATTTCTTAGTATTTGACCTATGTAAAGTTCATAAATATATATAATTATAACTAAAAGCCTAGGGTAGATTAAATTGAATACTGGGCAGAAAGATCGATTTTAAATGTCTTACTATTGTTGGGAGTTTAATTTCTCTCTAGCCCTGGTACAAACTCATCTCCCCTGGCAGTAAACTGCACAGAAGAACCACTCCTCTCTGTGTGAAAACTGTGGTCACTCTGCAGCTGTCTGAGTTGACACAGTTACTGCTGATTACAGGACTGTACTAACTAAACAGAAAACGTCAGACCTCTGCTTCCTCAAGAATAGCAGCAGTCCTTCTCTGCTGCTTACAGTTCAAGAGATAAATTTGAGCTGGAGGTCAATTAAACCCCTGTCACTAGTAAGACATTAAAATGATAGGGTTTTCTTAATAATAAATATACGCACCTACTTTTAAAAGAAAACTTCAATTTATCATTCAGTGTAACTTTACAATTGTAGCAATAATAAATGTACATACCATCAGTTGTGATTTTGTTGACAGTATTGCTGCCTAAAGCATAGCAAAAAATTGTATCATCAAGATGCATTTTTTTAGTTTATAGTGACAGACTGAGGTAATACGTTTTTTTTTTTAATGATCTATTAAATTTCAGGTATAAACTAGGTATAAACTTCAAAGTAGTAGAACATGAAGCAGTATCAGAGAAAAAGTGTAGCTAAACCCAAAAACAAAAAAATATACATTTCAACTTATTCTTTGGGTGTAGTGGCTGCATTTAGTTTGCCTTTTTTGTCCCTGCCAGTAACACACTTCCTGTCCTAGAAAGGAAATGCTCACTAACTGTTGTCCTGATTTGGACTACAAACACCTCTCCCTGCTCATGTCTATTGCATAGGGTGGAGGCATGATGTAGTTCACAGTAGATGGCTGGGAAAACTGATGCTGATGTTTGAGATACCATTTCAGTGTACAGGAAATGACAAGGACACCAGGACACAGCAGACTTTTTTTTTCTGAACTTACAGAAACTGTAATTAGCCTGACAGCAGGAAACTAATGCAGCCACACCATCAAAGGGCTGGTAAACTGCATTATATTCCAAGTTGTTTTTGCATTTGGATGACCCTTTAAGCACTCTCATTTTCAAAAGTGCAAGGGTAAACTTTGACATAAAACTTTGTGCCTGGGATGATTTTTTTTCTTTAAATGTTTTTGCAAGTGCTAAAATCCCAGATTGTGTCATTTTACATTTGCAATGTGAGCCTGACATTAACCTGTGAGTAATGATTTTGTGTTTTGTGTACACGTTCTAAGAAAAATGTTGCTGTGCCCTGGTTGGGGGAATGATATCATTTTTTGTTTCAATGCCGACCTAAAATCTTACAGGTCCAAGAAAGATAAGGTGAAAGCTGGAGTCAAACCAGATGCCTCTGATCCTGAGCCAGAAGGACTGACTTTGCTTGTGCCAGATATCCAGAGAACTGCAGAGATAGTTTATGTTGCTACCACCAGCCTTCGCCAAGCTAATCAAGGTAACCTGAAGACTGCCATGTTAAATGTAAGGTTTACCTAATAATTGTCTCTTCGTTAAATGTATAATTTTACAAAGCTATTCTTTTAAAACATTTGAATGCAGAGAAACTGATGTCATCTTCAGGGATAATAAACATAAACGACCTCACTAGAATTATATACAGAAATGACTTAAAAGCATTATTAAACTGGATGCAGTGTTAGTAATACTAGGTTGTAAATGATGCTGCTTTACCTCAATTCCCATTCTTTAGATTAAGGTAAAGTTGGATCCTTTGTTAAAGCTATTACATGGCATAAGGATGTTCTGAAGCTTCCCCGGATTATTTCCATTAATAGAGCCTTTCAGTGGTTCCCAGTAACAATGAGCATAATGTGTGAGTTTGGTTCAAGGGACTTTCACAGAACAGGTTTAAAAAAAAAAAAACGTTCAGAAATTGAGAATGTTCCTTGAATGAATCCTTCAAAATAATTTTGCTCATTTTTTTGCCCATTTTTAAGATTTATAGGAAAGGAATTATCACACAAAGGGCAAGGAGACTGCTATATCCCACACCTTCTAATGTTGGACAACTGAGCTTCTTATCACCTTATCCCCGTATTTATCAGACGTTGAGCGCTTGAATGTGTACAGTACCCTTACTCCTGATTTCTAATGGCCCTCCTTTATTTTTGTCAATCAGTTGGGCATCCCAATCATTCCCCTTCCTGGTCTTCTACCTCACTCCTTCCCCACTTCCCCCCCTCCTCTTTCACCCTACCCCTCCTATTCCCATATGCATTCACCATAATCATTTCCTGTGGTCTGTCACCTTTCTTCTCCAGGCCCATTATCCCCTGACAACAAAAACTTGTAGCATCGGTGTCCTAAGCTTGTCTTATCGAAACAGGCATGGGGATTTCAGACGACTTGTTTTGTTATCCTTTATGTACATTTTGCTTTACTTATGGATACATTGCCCCTCTGTATCATCAATTGCAATCCCTATTTAAATATGTGAAGGGTGATGGATATTGATGCTACTCCTAAATAAAAATTGCCATTCCATGAGGAGCAGTATTTTTAAAATGTTTTAAAGGACAGCATTGTAAATGCACAAATCTTTAAAAAAAAAATGCTTGTAGGTTGTCCTAAATATGCCTGTGAAGTGGCACACCTGTACAATGCTCTAAAGCAAAAGTGACATTTACAAAGAAATGCCACTAACATGGAGCAGAACTATTGAGGCTTCTGATCATCTGATCTTTAAACCAAAAGGCCACAATTGCCTATGGGAAGTCTGCACAGGCTTTTTTTCATGTTGATGCATTTTTTTAAAAAACTTATGTTATGTTTTTTTAGAGAAGAAGCTGGCAGAGTTCTCCAAAAAGGTTGCTGTGAAGTCCAAACCTTTTTCAGTCTTGCGATCTTTAGAAGAGAAGTATGTGGCTGTTATGAAAAAGCTCCAGTTTGGTAAGAAAATGTGTTTTTTGGGTTAAAGTATAGCTTGTAAGAGCTTAATATTTGCCCTGCTGATACATGCAAATGAGGAAGATTCAAAAGTGTGTGTGTGTAATTATTTTTTTTATTTAACATATACCGTTGTGTAATCTAAAGCCCAATAAAAGTTTCACTGATTTTTTTTTTTCCTTTTTTGTGTAGTCTCCTACCAATGTATGTTATGGTTAACAATGTTCGGATTGGTCATACCTTATAACCTTTTCTAGTTTCTAATTATGCTTCCTGCCCTCCTACTTCAGTGGTTTATATTGACATAGAAAAATAACAATCACAGCCCTCGTTTCTTTTCTCCTCACACTGCTGCCCCTCTCTGCCTATCCCTTCACTGGCTTCCACTAACCCAATGTATAAAATTCAAAATACTAACCACAGCTTACAAAGCCATCCACAACACTGCCCCTAGCTACATCGCCAACCTCATCCACAGATATCGCCCACTCCGCTCCTCCAATGATATCTTCTCTAGCTCCCTCATCACCTCCTCCCACGCTCGCCTCCCGGACTTCTCCAGAGCCTCTCCCATCCTCTGGAACTCCCCACCACAGCATGTCCGGTCAGCCCCCACCCTGTCTGCCTTTAGGCGATCTTTGAAAACTCACTTCTTCAGGGAAGCCTACCCCATCTCCACCTAAGAACTGTACTTGAATCACCTCCAGATCATCCCCCGCAGCTATCACTTTGTCACCTCCCCCTTCCTTTAGATTGTAAGCTCCACGAACAGGGCCCTCACATTCCCTCTGTACTGAAAGTATTGTAATTGTACTGTCTCCCTTATATTGTAAAGCGCTGCGCAAACTGTTGGCGCTATATAAATCCTGTATAATAATAATATTTGTAGCACCCAGGAAGAGAGGTAAAATGCAGTATCTGATCAAGTCTGTTAGATGAGTTCACTCGTACTATTTCTTGGTTAACAATGTGTTTACATATTTAACGATGTGTGCTGCTCAATATGTATTACTCAAGAGCTTGGGTTACACTGTGTCATCCTCATACAATATACTTTATTTTTGTAAGTTATGCAATTTATTAATACGGTTGTGCAGATCATGTAGATGGAATCATAGCAGGTGCTCACTAGTTAAACTGCTAAAAAGGTTTGATGAGAAAATTTTAGCTAACGTATTTTTGTTTTATGTGTTACAGACACTTTTGAGATGGTATCTGAAGATGATGATGGAAAACTGATGTTTAAAGTCAATTACCATTACATGTCTCAGGTGAAAAATGCAAGTGATGCAAACAGTGCTGCACGAGCACGACGTCTCGCACAAGAGGCAGTTACTCTCTCTACATCGTTGCCTCTGTCTTCTTCATCCAGTGTCTTTGTCCGGTGCGATGAAGAAAGACTAGACATTATGAAGGTAATATCTTCTGATTTATGCATTAAAGGATAAGCTCACCATTGGGAACATGTTACATGTTTCACCCTGTTTTAAGTTGGAACATGTTCCCATTGAAAAGTCTCCCCATACTGTCAAATTTGAAAGCAGTGCGGCCGTGCAGGGCTCCGCCTACAGGGCTGCGTCATTAATTCACGGACGTCCTTAAGTGAATGAACTGCAAGTCCTGACAGCCTTAGTGGCTGTGGGTTTGTAGTTTTCAATGAACTACCATGGCGCTGTGGAGCATCATGGTAGTCCATTGAAGCTTCCTCTCAAAATATCTGCTTGCTCGTACATCCCATACGGCAAGTAGATATTTTGACCGGTCTGCAGGAGACCTGCATGTCATCAGCCATCTGCTGATCACTGGTGCAATGCTTTCCAGGCTCTTGTAGACAAAAATAATAAATGCACATTTTTTTAACCTGCAAAAAAAATGTGCATTTATTATTTTTGTCTAAAAGGTGAACTTATTCTTTAATTGTTGGTGTGACCTCAATACATGTATGTATAAATTTGTATATATGTTTTTTTATTTTACTTCTGCTTAAAGGCTAACTTCACTTTTTCAGAAAATTAGCCTATGCGGTCAAGGGGGCCCCAGTAGGTATTTAAAAAAAAAAAAAACTGCATTTTTGTAAAATGTTCTGTATTTTTGTCATATATGTAGGCCATTTGGACCCTCCTTCCCCCTGAAGCCTGACTGAAAACTCGCAGTTAAAAATCCCTATGTCTTGCCTTGTTGCTAGGAGGCTTCCAGGAGGGCCCAAATTGATGAACATTGTACAAAGCTGTAAAGTTTTCTAATAACCACTTTGGCCCCTTGACTGCCTAAGTTGTTTTTTGGAAAGGATGAACTTTTACCACCTTTTTTTTTTTTCTTTTCTTTTTTTTTTTTTTTTTTTTTAAATAGGGTCATTTTTTAAACCAGTTTTTCAATAACAAGAGCAACTGTTACAAAGGACAAATTTTATCATGAATAACAACGATTCACATAGTAGTCAATTTAAGTTGGATTATTTGACCTTTTAGTGCATATTTCAAATATTGTCTATCATATACCACAAATGACTGAACTTAGCCTTTAAAGCAGAAGTTCACCTCAAAAGTTCTGTTTTTCTTCATTCTCTCCTCTCCCCACCACTTTTGAAGACGTTTTTTTTTTTTCTGGGAGGGTGTACCTATGTCAGATAGGTACCCACCCTCACTTCTACTCTTCTAGTGTAGGCAAGAAAAGCAGAAATTTGGCGCCCGCAACCTCCTGGGACATGTCACTGTCCCAGGAGACTTCAGGACAGGTTGGAATGCTCAGCGCATTTTGCGAATGCGCAGTGGGGAGCCAGCTGTAAGTCACAGCCAGCTTCCCACAAGCAAGGTGGCAGCACCATGGACCCGAAGACCGGAGAAAAACCAGGTGTTGACAGTGCTGGACTCCTGGATCGGCAAGTGTCTGCTTATCAAAAGTCAGCAGCTACCGTAATTGTAATTGCTTTTTTTTTTTTTTTTTTCTAGTTTTATGTTTTTAAAAGCTCCTCTTTAAGTTTTTCAGTATCTTCCATTCTATGTGTTTTGTTTGTGTGGAATTACAGCCACTAAGTTCTATCTGTAGAGGCTTGTTGGTACCAATGTTTTTGGTTCATCCCCTTACATCTGCAGCTGGCAATAGAAATAGAGTTTATCTTCTGATCTAGCTTTTTTCATGTTTGTGGCAGCAGGAGACCTTTACCAGCCAAGCATCACTCTAGGGACATTCCATATAGTGTTTATTTTTAGACCACCCCCTGAGACTCAGCCTGATTGGCTCACTAGTTTTCCCAGACACTTGGCGTCACCTATAATAAATGCAATTTGCTGAAAATTTTGCACAAGGAAAGGCATAGGTGGCCTACATGTTTGTTTGTTTTTTGTTGTTGTTTTTTTTGTTTGTTTTTTTATTGTAATACAAGAGGCAAGTAAGGTGGCTGTGATAAAGACAGAAACTCCCACTTACCAGTTAGATTGAATAATGCAGGCAAGGCTTACATCAGGATTTGGAGAACAAAAAAAATTTAAAATCTATACATTTCAACCATATTAGAAAATTTACATTCAGCTAAGGGTTAGTTCTGTGAAGGCAGAAATATTTACACTGCCATTACCATCTCAAAAGTACATGTCATCCTTATCCTAACCTCAATAGTTAATGAGTTAAAATCTGAAAACTTTTCAATTTAAAAAAAACGGACGATCATTTGTCCAATATTCTCATGTGTATGAGGCTTTAGTCCTTCATGCTTGTTTTAGTTTAGTGACATATTGAATCCAGGATAATCATAATGACCACATAGAACCTGCACACAAGTCATTATTGGAAGCTTTCTTATATCTGTTCTCACAAGTTGACTTTAGTAAGCAATTGTTCTTTCTGACTTGCAATTAATCTGCACATTGTTATGCATATTTTTGTCTACAGGTTTTGATAACTGGTCCAGCAGACACTCCCTATGCTAATGGATGTTTTGAATTCGATGTATACTTCCCTCAAGATTATCCTAATTCTCCTCCTCTTGTGAATTTGGAGACAACTGGTGGCCATAGTGTCCGTTTTAACCCAAATCTTTATAATGACGGAAAGGTAAATATTATTAGTTTTTTGTGATTGCTTAGTGATGTGTAGATTCTTGCATAAATGTACTGTACGCTTACTTCAATGGTAGCTTATGTGTTTGGTCTTTGAAAACTCACATCTTAATCACAGCGAAGATGAGAAATTATCAACTATCTGGATCATCAAACTGTTAACTTTTTTATATATGCATTGTATTGTCTTACCATGTGTGGTGAGCATGTGCATTCTCATTAATTTGGGCAGTGTCATTTTTTTTTAACTGCCTCCTGCCCACCATATAAGAAAACAATGGGCGGCATCTCTCTCGTACTGGAAGGACATATGAGTCAAGTTGCTCAGTTGAAAGTTGATCAAATTCTGTTTTGGGCATCATGTTCCGGCCTTGTCGTCAGTACATATCCCAGGTGTGAAGAATTGTCAGCAATTGATTCTGTGGGAGAGGTCTCTACACCCCAAGTTGATCAGTGCAATTTGTCAGCATTGGGGCACAGCAGATGTGGATCTTCTAGAGCAGGGGTGGGCAGCTGTGGCCCTCCAGCTGTTGTAGAGCTACAAGGCCCATGAGGCATTGCAAAACTGACAGTTACAAGCATGACTCCCAAAGGCAGAGGCATGATGGGACTTGTAGTTCACCAACAGCTGGAGGGCCACAGTTGCCCACCCCTGTTCTAGAGCCCTGTTTCAATACAAAGCTGAACAGGTTTGTCACCAAGACGAGGAATCCGCAGGTGATTAGGGTGGAGGCCCCAAAATGTATTAGCTGCTATTGTGACTTCCCGTTATGTTCAGTAAAGACTTGGCACCCATTCAGCTTGCTTTCCTATGCCTGATTACACTCAAGGTGCAGAATCCCATTTTTCTAATTGTCTCTGTTTATACTTTGACACTCAGTCACCCTACGCTCTATGTCCTATGCTCCAAAAAGTGTATGATTGGGAGTTTTTTGCACATATGTAGGAATCTTTGCCCCAGTAGACTTAAGCAGGTTTGCCTTTAAACACGTGACAAATGCATTTGCATGAAGTTTTGCACCTGGAAAACTTTCCTTCTTTAGAATTTCTCCCCTCCCTTTGTCCAGCCCAGGAAAGAAAAATTTCTGAAGTTTGATACAAGTGCTAATAACTCTTGTACAAAGCTTGTAAAACATGCTTCAAGCTCACCAGGAATACTCTGCTTATGCTCTGCTCAGGTGTGAATGCAGGCTTACTGGACTCCATATCAGTCACTTTCTCATTTTTCTCCTACTCTTCCATAAAGGATGGAGGGCATGCATGACATTTTCCACACCATCCAGTCAGCTCCTTCTCTGCCTTCTGTTTCTCCAACATCCAGTTAATAGCAATGACCACTTTTTATCTTGTTCCGGTGGAACATGATCAGGTGCTGCTCCTCTGTACCTTCCTGTTTATTAACAATAAGTTCTTGCTCCTTTATCCCCTGGCATGATGAGATCACTCTGTCATTTTGCTTTTTACTCTATCCATTATCATGTTTTTTTTATTTTTTTTTCTCTTTTCTCTCACCCTTCCTAGTATTTGATTTGCTCTTGTTTTTCCTGTTCTTTTCCCCCTCAAATATTTGCTAGCTTTTATTAAGCCCCATCCCCTCACATTTTTCCAGTAAAAGTTTTTTATTAAACAGAAAAATATACAGTATAAAATAACAGTATAAAAGTACATAAATCCCCTAAAATGTAACTGTAAAATACCAGGCAGCTTCAGTGATTAGCAGTGAGGCTGAAGAAGTAAAGGGTATAAAACAAGCCTGACTGTTACAGGCAAATGTGATTTACATGTTTGTTTGGTCAGCTGACATATGGTCCTTGCTAACACTAACTTCTGTTGATATATTTTCATATGATCGTTTTCAGATCGCCTGGGTTGGTGACTGGTTTGCTTTTTTTTTTATTTTTTTTTTATTACATCTTTTATAAAATGTTTTCAATAAAAAAGAGCATCTAATGCACACAAAAATAAAAAGAACTTGACCAATACATAAATTATATTTGCATCGTCTTATCCCCTGCCCCACCCTTCCTCCGGGGTAATAGGTCTCTCTAGGGCCTCTAATTTTTCTTCTGCTATTCTTGGCAACGCCACTTCATTTAAATATTTGTCTGTTTTTTCTGCTTTTCCTCCTCCGTTTCTTTTTGGTTTCTGGGGCTCACATCGTACAGCCGGCTATAATATTTTTGGAACCTCTTGGCAATATCAGTGGTGGCGTACACCATTTCTCCTTTGTTGTCTTTAATTTTTTTCTATTAAGTTTTTGGATTTCTTTTCCTTTATCTACCTCAAGTATTTTCCAGGTCTATTCCCCCACTGATATCTTTCTTTTGAGACCCTGTTGAGTATCCTTCTCGATTCCTGTTCTATAAGATCTTTTTAATTCTTCTTTTTAAATAATTATCTTCTGATATACGTCTGTACCTGTCTTCTTTTTATGTAACTGTTCTAACTTGTAGAGCTCCTCCATCACTGTCTTCATTTTTTTCCCTCGTTCTTTCTTTCTGCTCCCATCGAAATCAATATTCCTCTGATATATGCTTTATGTGCCTCCCAGGTTGTGGCCACTGACACCTCAATCTCATTGAACTAAATAAAAAAAAAATTGCTCAGTTTCCTGCCTTAACATTCTCTCCAATTCAGAATCCTGTATAAGCATCTCATTTAGTCTCCACCTAGTTATTTTATCCTGAACCCCTCCTACCCGTAGTCTCATCGCGACAGGAGCATGATCAGAGATGGACATAACCTCTATGTTGGAGCTAACCAATGATTCCAATTGTCTATGCTCGATCGATATATAATCCAGTCTTGAATACGTTCCGTGCACTGGAGAGAACAAGGTGTAATCTCTTTCTCTTGGGTGTTTCACTCTCCAAGTATCAGTCAATTGACATTGATATAATAGCCTCTTCAGAGGTTTTAATTTCCTGCCACCCTCTCTCTCTGCGTACCAGATGACGTATCCAAATGTGGATCCAGACACAAATTAAAATCTCCTGCCACAACCAGACTACCCTTTTTAAATTCAGACAGTTTTCGTAACACACCCTCCAAGAATGTTTACTGGGTTTTTATTCGGGCAATAGACATTAGGTAGTGTATATTCAAATCCTTGTAATTTTCCCTTCAGAAAAAAAAACTGATCCTCTGGGTCTTCCAGTCTCCAGCTCCAGGGTAAAACTAACATTTTTTGAAAACCCGATTGGTACTCCTTTAGCCCTTTTAACTGGAGAATCTGCATAATACCACATTGGATAGTACTTAACGTTTGTATCACGGGTTATGTGTGTCTCTTGTAGAAACACTACGTCTGTGGAGTGTTGGTATCTTTCCCTAAGTGTCTTATGTCTTTTTGTTGGAGAATTTAATCCTTTCACATTGTAAGTCATGTACTTAATCAAGCTCATTTCTGATGTTATTACGTTACTCTTTCCACTTTCCCATCTTTTGAACACAAATATAGACAACTTAAGATATGGATGTGATATTTGTACGTACAGATATGGACAATGACAACCATATTTTGTATCAGACTCTGCTAATATCATTCTCTCTCCCTCCAGTCCCCCTTCCCTTTCAGGAATGTGGTCTGTGTGTGTGCTGAATTCACGAGTGCATAGGGCACAGCTAATGGGCTTCATGGTTGTAACCCCAATTAGCCTGGTTCCAAGATGTCTGATACACCCTTTCATCTGGCCGGGTCGTAAAACTATAACTCAATCCTTCACTTGACATGAAACCTTATCTCAGAGTGGCTGTAAAACGTACATCCCACTTGACCCACTTTTTCATACAAATTCATAAATCCCGACAGGAACAAGGTACATGAAAACAAAGCATATATTCAGATATGTCATTTTAATACAAGTCACCTGATGCCTTACACCCCTAGGTAACATCTACCAGAGAGTAGAAAGCAATATCTTTTTATCCGTCACAGCCGGATACGTCATATTTGGTGTCTGGACGTTCAGAATATGATTCTGCATATTAATCTACCAGTGGCTAGGCTGCTACATGTACCTATGGAAGGTTATTGACCAGGGATTTGGGTCACAGCCTGGGTCTCCGCCTAACACCCCTCCCCAAATGAGGCGATTGGCCCTTGGCTTCAGTAGACACCCCCCTCCCTCCTTCCTCACCCCCTGCCACTCCCCCCCACATCCCCAAACCCCTCTCTTCCTACCCAAAAAACCCTCATGGCCTACGTATTTCCCTGGAATTTGTCGAGAATTTTTTCTACTAGCAATTCCTAATTTGGGGTGAGGCTCAGAACACGCACGCCTGCTCCAGTTCCTAGCTCATATCATAATCAGAGTGGAGTTTGGCAGCATGCTTATGCTCCAGGCAACCTGCCTATTCACCGTTCATTCCGTCCCTCCATCCCTCCCACCCGTTATCGCAACCAGGAGGAAGAGATCGAGGGCAGAGGGACCACGGTGCAGCCGGGAGAAGGGCAAGGGGGTAGCAGAGAGCAAAAAAAACCTACCCAACTCCGGAAATCCCTTAGGGATTTTCCTCCTCGCTCATCCCCAGGCACCCACACTCTCCGACCCTCGCCCCTCCCCCCACCACCACACGCCCCTACTTCTTTTTCTTAAGTACCCGCTGACCAATTTCCCGCCTCCTGCCCTCCACTTTCATTTGGCCCCTCTGTTCTATTTTCTGTAAGTCTAATTTCTTGCAGAAATCACTGAGATCTTCAGGGAACCTCAAACTTGTCGATTTTCTGTCTTTCCATTCGATCAGGCATGCTGGAAAGCCCCAGTTATATCGAACTTTTTTTCTCTCATATGCTCCAGCAATGGTTTCAGAGATCTTCTAGCCAGTGTCTCTGGGGAAATGTCAGCGAAAATATGCAACTTTGTTTCCTCATATTTTTCTTTCAGCAGTATTACGCAAGCTTTTCCATATTCTTTCTTTATCTGCGTAATGATGGAATCGAACTATCACGTCTCTGGGGCTGTCCGCTGACACTCCTTGTGGCCGTCTTATCCTATGTGCTCTCTCAATTTTCAGATTTTCTGTCGCTGATCTTCCCATTATTGGGTTACACATTCTCTTTTTCTCCCCCAGATCTTATCCCTGTTCTTCTTTTGGTAGACCACGGATCCTTAGATCCTTAGATTAATTCTTCTCTCTCGGTTTTCCCCATTTTCCAATTTAAAAGAGAGCATTTTCTATTCTCTACGCATCTCTTCCACCTGCATTTCTAATGTATTGATTATTTGGGCATGTGCCTCCATTCTCTCTTCTACTTCTTCCACTCGCATTAATATCCGACCCAAGTCATTGCGTAGCATCCCCATGTCATTTTTCATGGACATCTCCAGTTTCACGAACATTTCCACCATCTCAGATTTTGTGGGTTTTTGTGACATGGCTCCTTGTTCTGAGACGCTTTGATCCATGACACTATCCTGGCTCATTGATTCGTTAGTCTGCTTAGATTTTCTAACTCTTTCTTGTTGTTTATCCTGCGTTCAATTCTCCGGACTTTTCTCTTGTAGGGGCATATATTTTTTTAATTGTACTGGCCTTCGCATTTGGTTGTGGGGTTTTTGAACCCCCTCCTTTAGCTGGTTTGCTCTATTTAACTCTCCTTTTACTTTTCTATTATCTCTGACTTCCAATTACTGAAACCTAGGAAATCACATGAAAGTCCCAGCACTGGGTTTACAGTTACAGTACAATATCTTCCCTTTTTCCTTTATTACTAATGGTTTTACCACCCCTGTTCTATTACTATGGGGGCCAAGATGAGTAAACCATTCCATCAACCTAAGAGAACACCCCGCAATATAGTCCTCTGTTAACCCCAGTACTCAAGTATGTTTTGCTTCGTCACATAAGCATCGGGTACAAAAGAAAACTAAAAGTCCTGCCATTGCCCATGGCACTCACCATCACCTTCCCCACCAACTGACCCGAGCCCTTAAGTCCCTGTTCACTCTTTGGCTTGGTTTCCGCATCAATCTTTTAAGCACACCTGTGTGGGGATGTTAGTGGTGGTCTGGGGTGTCTCCAGGTCCCAGGTTAATGTCCCAGCACTGGGTGGAATCCTCCAAAGCTCTGCCTCCTTGCTCTCCCAGACCTTTGGGACTTCCCTATGGGCTGGGCAATCCTCTGTCACCTGGACCTGTGAACTCCCAGCCGCCTCCTCCCGCTCCAGGCTTGCCGGGGTCCCAGGGCAGCAGCACACCTCACGTTCCGCTCCAAGAGGGTCCCTCGCCTTCACCAGCCTCCACTGGGACCGTCTGACCGCCGGCTCACTGCGGCTCCTCACCAGTCAGGACCTCCCTCGGGTCAGTACAGGGCGGGCAGGCACAGGGCTTCACTCTTGGATGGCAGGCGCCTAGAACTCACACTGCTCACGGTGCCATGATCAGGCCCCTCCCTACGGTTTGCTTTAAATGATGCAAAATACAGGTTTCTTTGTACACTTACTAAACTATTAATACCCAAGTAGTAGACAGAAATATATAGTATTGTACTGTATATCATGTTACTGATTTTGCTTAAATTTTTTAATACTAGCATGCTTAATAATACTCTTCAACAAACTTTGCAGCTTTACTGTGTAAATCGACTTTCTTACATACTTGCTTTAAGCAAATAACAAGAACCTATTTATTGCAAGTCCAAACACCTTCGGATCTAGCAAAAGACTTCCAACAGCTTTTGTGAGTGATTGCATCTCCTGCAATTCAGGCCAGCCAACTGTGACAATTTTGGAAACTTATACATTTTTGTAGTATTGTATTTTGACAATTCATCTCTTTTAACACCTAAGATGATCAGTGCTATACTTTATATTGGCACAGTGCTGTTTCTGAGCAGCAAAAAGGGGGTGGTAGAGTTTGTGGTTCTGCCGCTTATATATTTTAATTGCCCTGCAGCTGATAAATGTATTACCATTTGTTACCAAGTTGTTAATTACGTAAATGAACATGCATCCTTAAAGTTCTTGTTAATTCCCTATCTGTGTCCTGTTGGGGAGATTTTCCTGTCCTGGGGAATTAACGGGAAGTATCTGTCAAAAACGATGGGAAATTCTCCTCGACAGTTGTCATCAAAAAAGATGTCCCCCTTTAACAGACTGTTGCTTTCCTCCTGTTCCGTTGACGGCTGTAAAATTTTGAATTGCTCAACACTTTCTGTCCCGGTGGCATTGGTCACCAGGACAGATAAAGTGGATGAATACAGACAAAAAGCTTTGGCTCTACATACACTTTAAATTTTCATAAACCTCTATGCAATCTAGCTAAATTAACAGATGGAAAAATATATGGATATATTATTTATTGAAACTCATAAATGTATTATACGTTATATAAATTTAAATGATGAAAAAATAAAAATTATTAATACTTTACTTTTATTTTCAAGGTGTGTTTAAGCATACTAAACACCTGGCATGGGAGACCCGAAGAGAAGTGGAATCCACAGACCTCAAGTTTTTTGCAGGTGTGTCTTCACCTTTCCTTACAGTTGATATGCTCTTTTCCATCTAGCAGATTGGATGACAGTCCAATGTATACAGACAGGTGGTCCATTTACATCTGTCCACCCATAGATGAAAACGGGCTGTATCCATGTCCGCTCTACATAAGTGGAGCGGACAAAGGACCTGTCATCCGCCTGCTCAGCAGGGATGCATTCTATGCATGAAGGTAAAAAAACTACCTCTGTGAAGCATCCCCCCTAATAGTCAGCTAAGCCCCTTCTCGATCCAGCGATGTGCACTGGAGTCTCGACTATCTTGGGACTCCCTCTCCTCATTGGCTGAGCCATTGGCTCCCACTGCTGTCAATCACAGCCAGTGAGCAAATGAGAAGGGAGATAGGGTGGGGCTGAGCCGTGGCTCCCTGTGTGAATGGATATATGGAGCAGCAGCTAGGGAGTGCACATGCTCTGGTGCCTCCATAGCATGCTGCTTGTTGTGGGGGCACCTGACAAGAGGGAGGGGCCAGGATCACCTGCGAGGGACCCAAGAAGAGGAGGATCTGAGCTGCTCAGTGCAAACCCACTGTACATAACAGGTAAGTATAGACTTGTTTGTTATTTAAAAAAAAAATGTAAGCCCTTAGAATCACTTTAACTCCAGCAAAATGAGACACAAATCCCTGCTCATCTTCAGCACAAGGTTTAAATAACAGCAACCACACAAGGTTGTTACCTGCAGAAAGTAAAATCCAGCCTGAGCCCTTTATGGCATCTTTCAGCAGACATGCAGCACTTCAGACAGCTATCCCCCGTTGTTAAAACATTTGGTCTTATTAAACTGGTTAGCAAAGGGAATCTGTGTTCAGTCATGTGTAGGAGAATTTAGAAAGACCCTGCTTAATAGGAGTAAATGTTTGAATGACTGCACTTCTTCATGCGGCAAATCAGACTCTATATCTGCAGCTTTTAAAGCACTAAAACATTAAGAGCTGGGTTCAAAATACTGTCTGTGACCACCACATATGCTTTTTTTTTTGGCTTTTATCATTTAGCCCCAGTATTTTTTATTTTTTTTTTTTTTTTTACAAGATAACACGTGGGCATGCACAGATCAATGTAAGCGGTATGCTAGTTAATGAATACATTGGCAAAAATTATCCCAATTATGCTTTAGATATTGTAATGGCCATACTTAAAGTATATGTAAACGCTCTCCTTGTAAAACAACCCATTCAGTTTAAAATATAAATAAAAGGTAAAACATAAATACCCTTTTCCCTTTTTTTTAAATAAGTGATCACATTCCCTCTGTTCTCAGCTGCAATTGAGGTTCTGGAGGAGAAATGGCAGTACAGAATATTAAAAATTTACTTGTGAGCCAATAAGGTGTATAATAAAGAGCTTCTATCAATAAGATCGCAGGCTATCTTGCTCACCCTCATAAATGTGAGTTATCAGTGCATACAAATGAAGAAAATATAGATGCCGCGCTCTATCAGGACCTATTACCTGTATATAATATAAAAACTGTATTTACATTAAATCTCTAATAGCTGCATGATCTCTTATGTGTAACCATACATGATTGTAATGCCAATCAATACCCAAACATGTATTAATAGTGAATAAATGAATTCGGAAAATATATATCAAAATTGGTGATATAAAAGAAAATAAAAAAAAATAAAAAATAAAAATAAGTCTGTACAAAATTATTCAAATTTGTGTCCTTCGATGATTAAATAAATAATCCAATTAATAAATTGAAAAATATGAAAAATGAATAAAAGGTGAGATTCAATAAATATTGTGCAAAAACACAAAACAAACTTGGTGCAGAGTTCAGCAAGGATGAAATATCTGTGTGCTCTCCTTCCAATCAGCCTGAGGTGATGCAGGTGAAGGTTGCAGATAGAGGGCTACTATGTAAGCCTGGATGGTCATATGGATCTCTCCCTCCTCAGATCTTTCCCTCCTCAGATCTTTCCTTGATCCAGCCCTTTAGGCATTCCTTATACGGATCCAGTGCTCGCCGTGTAAGGATGCGTGGTGATGTCACTGCCCCTCCCCAACGCGTATCTCCACAGGGATTCGTGGCTTCGTCCGGGGATTATTTATTTAATCATCGGACATAAATTTGAATAATTTTGTACAGACTTTTATTATTTTTTAATTTTTCTTTTATATCACCAATTTTGATATATATTTTCCTAATTCATCTGTTCACTATTAACACATGTTTGGGTATTGATTGGCATTACAATCATGTATGGTTACACATAAGAGATCATGCAGCTATTAGAGATTTTAATGTAAATACAGTTTTTATACTATATACAGGTAATAGGTCTTGATAGAGCGCGGCATCTATATTTTCTTCATTTGTAAGAAATGGCAGTACACTTCCCAGTGAATGGCTATGCAGTCTAATCATTGGAAGAGAGCAGGCTGAGTTCCTAGCACAGTTATGGAGAAGGCCACACTGATTTCATGCCTAGTGTGGTCAGTTTTTAATAGGGAAGAGAAGGACTTGCAGCAACACCAAGGATTTCTCACAAAGGATGCAATAAAGAGAACAAGATACTTTTTCCATACAAGTACATGGTACAGCAGGTACATTTCAGGAATATGAAATGTTGGGTTAACATACTCTTTAATACTGTTTGGGAGTGGCCAAATGATTGCACATTGAGAGTCATAAAGTGACTGCACAGTATTACTATTTGCAGTACTCTATGAAAATAGTATTTTCCGTAATGAAATGTTTTTCCTTTTACTGTTGCTTACAGGTATTGGTGTCAGTACAGTCCCTTATTCTTGTGTCTGAGCCCTACTTCAATGAGCCAGGATATGAGAGGTCAAGGGGCACACCAAGTGGCACGCAGAGCTCCAGAGAGTATGATGGAAATATTAGGCAGGCAACAGTCAAATGGGCCATGCTAGAACAAATTAGAAACCCCTCACCGTGTTTTAAAGAGGTATGTTGCCGTTGGACATTATGCATTTGTGTTTCTATTTTTCCAGTTTCTAAAAATATAAATGTGTGAGGGATTACCTAACTCACTTTTCTCCGCTCAGTTTAGAGTTGTTGCATGCTACAGTACATTGTTAAATGAACATGAGCTTAGGCTGGTTGGTCCTTTTTTTTTTTGAGCTTTGGCTAGTGGTCTTTTCTGTGTATATATCGCCAGTTTACATTATTGCAGGATCTATGAGAATCAGTCATACCTGTCCACCTGAGATCCTCCATTTATATGAAAGCAGAACTCCTGGCAAAAACCTTTTTCCATGTCCTTGCTGCTGATCTTCTATCTTCACTGAATATGTCCTCCGTCTTCTGGTTCACTCAGTAGTTGCTTTGAGATAAGCTGATAATTTTCAAAATCAAAAAATTAATCCCGTTTGTAAGACCATGGGTCTTGGCACATCCCTTCTGTAGTTTTTTCTCCAGGAAGCTGTGATGCATTTCCTCCCTGCTCACTGTAGTGGGCGAAATCAGACTCCTTGTCTGTATTTCCCACTTAGGCAGTGTGCTAAGAATGACAGCTCAGGACACTCTGGGTCTGTCCCTCCCATGCCTTCAGCTAGGAGTCTGTGCACCTCCTCCATTAGTAACTGCATATACTAAACTAGGGATGCACCGATATTTTCTGCATTTTTACCCCTCATTTTGCAACAATTTTACCCGGAACTTTGCCATGATTTTACCTGGGATTTTGCAGTGTTTTTACTCATAATTTTGCCTGTGATTGAAGCGTTTTTACCACGATTTTACCCCAAATTTTGCTGCGATTTTACCACTTTTAGGGTGCTTTTTTCATTGGTCATGTGACTCAAACGCATCAAAATCGCAGCACATATGTTTTTGATCCGTTTTTTTTTGCTGCGCTTTAAATACATTTCAGGCCTGGTTCACACTAATGCAGTTTGTGTTTTGTCCATTTAACAGTACATTGCAGCTCACTTAGGAAAAATGCACCTTAAACATTATCAAATTGCAGGTAAAATCTTGGCAAAATAGTGTTTTGTGTAGTGTGGTGTACTAATGGATGATTTCTTTTTGCCTATCCCAGAGTTGTTCTTAATCTCTTATTTAACTGCTTCCCAACCGCCCTATAGCAGATATACTGCTACAGGTTGCACGGGTGTGCAAAATCACGTGTATATATACATGATTTTGCATTTATGGGTAGGGGGCGCGCCGGCACCCAGTGATTGCCGAGCATCTCCGACTAGGAGGAGAACTGTTTGTAAACAAAATTTTTTTTTAATCATGTCCCTGCACGGTACTATGCCTTTAAAGTGCACTCTATAAAGAGTTTTGAACAGATAAGACTTTTTTTTAATTTTTTCTGACCTCTGGAATGGATTAATTGGTTTTCAATGCATTCCTATGGGAAACCACATTTTGGTTTATGAATTTTTTCGCAATACGAAAAGACCAGCAGAGCGAATTAAATTTGTAAACCGAGGTACACCTGTGTGTGTGTGTGTGTGTATGTGTGTGTGTATATATATATATATATATATATATATAGTGTGTGTGTGTGTTCATTGCCCTAATTGTAAGAGTTAGGTTAAAGGTAAGTGTTGGGGTAAGTTAAGGGTCTGTGTTAACAGGCTTTTGTAACCTTTAGACAGGTTATGCACTCCCTTACAAGTCTATAGGTCAAATGCACCTGTCGAATTCAGAATGATTTCAGCAGCATCCCAAACAAATGCCATAGATACAGGCCCTAAACTTGTATCTACTTAGGCTCTAGACCAGTGGTTCTTAACCTTGTTGGAGGTACTGAACCCCACCAGTTTCATATGCGCATTCACCGAACCCTTCTTAATTGGAAAAATAAAATATGATTTTTAAATTCAAAACATAGGTATATATTTAGGTATATATTTATACATAGGTTCACAAAATGAACAAAACCGTTAAGAACAAAGAACAAAACCATTAAAACATGATTTTCACACAAAAACAAAAACATAATAATGAATATTTTAACTGCACGAATCATATGAGTCGGGTGTGTGGTTCTTCACCTCCGCCGAACCTGCGAGACTGACTCACCGAACCCCGGGGGTTCGATTGAACCCAGGTTAAGAACCACTGCTCTAGACTAAAGCTGGCCATACATGTATCAAAGTTCAGCAGGAATAATCCAAATTTCCAACCATATATGGCTGTTTCCGTTAATGAGAAGTTGATCAATCTATCGATTTTCTCATAACCTGGGTTCTGCTGGAAAATTTTCACTCAGGTTTGCGCATGTAGCAAATGGGCTACAGCACTGATCAGTATATTCTGACATTATGGGAGTCCCACTGTCAGAATACAGTGACAAATTGGGGAGGATTCCTGCATCCACCTTGAATGTGTGGATGGGGCAATTGATACAATTTTTCTTTGTTCAGCAAGGTGGCTGAATGAAAAAAAAACCTGTACCATAAGCAAAGTAACAGGTTCAGTTAACCTGCATACAGCTGACGGTAACCTTTTCCATACTTCCCACATACCAACTCAACAACTTGCCCAAACGTTTTACTTTCAGATATGGAACTTTGAGTGTGCCAGTTACAATTCTGGTGCTTTTTATCAGTAATATAGTTTTGCTAAACATTTGCACAGCTATCATGGGTCGAGCAAAATCAATAGTAAACATCCTTCTGCTGTTGTAACTTCAGAAAATATGTAATTTGGGAAGTTTTACGTAAATCTTCCAGTATGTAATGTTCATGTAAAAATTAGGAAAGTAAAAAAAAATAGGAATATTGGGTTAGTCCTCTGAGGTCTGAGTAAGTGAAGGCAAAATAGTTAATGCATGTGTATTTTATTATTTTTTCTTTTCTTAGTGAAGCCATATATATATATATATATATATATAATATATATATATATATATATATATATATAATATATATATATATATATACATATTCTCTACAGAAAACATTTGTTGAACATGACAGTAAGGTAACCATGTTTACCTAACAGTAACCGTATTTTATGTGCTTTTAAGTTCAGATTAAGATAAGTAGTCAATGCTTTTATTTACGCTTTTTGACCTAGTAAATGTTCCTAATTATGCTGAAGTTAGTTTGACAATAACAATACATTTTCCTGGGCAATTTCCCTTGTCTAATTGAGTGTAAAGGTGCACAAATGTCAGACGTACAGAGGTTTTTATCTTCCCAGAGGTATAATTGATACTTTCTTGCTCCCTCTTCCTAGAATGAACTTGGCCACAGTATTCCTAATATGAAATAATATACCACACGGTGTAAGAATACAATTATTCTTTAACATTTTAGTTTCTTTTACAACCAGTATTAAACATGGTAAATTTCCTTCTTGCTAGGCAAGAAATAAAAAGCCATTAATAATGTACCCACGTAAATGTCAGTTAATTGAACTAATTTTCTGCTTTACTCCTTATTAGCACCTTGCATACTTCTCCATAATGGAGAGAGAAAAATGACTTATTGCTGGCATAACGATTAGTAAAGAAATAGTTCAAAGCACATAGATGAACTTGATACATAATTACATTCTATCCCCTGGCAATAAAGAAAAGGCAAGGAAAGGCCTGACAAGCTAAACAATGTAACCATGTACTATATATATGAACATATCAACATTTTTGTGAAATTATGCATTGTAGTTTATTGAGCAAGAAAAGCAATGACATGTTTTATCATTCACATCTTAAATGGAATTGGACTGGAGATTTTATAGCCCCATTTACTTGCAACCATCAGTTAGTAATTTTGTAATTGTTTATACAAGCAATGCTGCTATGATTGTCATGTTTGAGTGCATAATACATTTAAATGTTATCTGCTGAATCAGCAGGGCAGTGACATCATGGCAATTGTAGCCCAGCCAGAACTTTATCCAGCCCTAATGGAAGGACAAAAAGCTGTAGGTTAACAATGCAAAAGCCTGAACATTGCACTCTCAACACACTGATCACAGTTGCAATCCTCTGCATGGCTCAATGCAAAAATGTTAATGCACTGGTGGACTATGCTTTTTAAGGCCCTAATATGTGCTCTAGATATGTCTATGATTATTTTGTAGTATGGGTAAAGCAGTATTAAACCCAAAAGCAAACATTTATTATATTGGAGCTGACCCAATTCTTATATGTGATGTCTGCATTAGTTTTCTTTTTTTATATACTTGCTTTCTTTTTTCATCTAGTGATGAAAAATAAGTAATAAAAAAAGTAATTGGTAAGCTGCAATAGATTACATTTTTGGTTGTGAGTTTTATACTGCTTTAACCACTGGCGCCCCAAGCATCATTTTAAATTAGCACTGAAACAGCACTATTTTAAAACCACAGCCAGTATCAGTGTCTCCTGTGGAACCCTGCCAGCATTAATGCTGGGACCGCTAGTTGTCTGTGACAATTGGCATCATCAATTCTAAGCCCAGGAGCTAAAATGATGAATTCCTGGACTTGGATGCATGCTGTAGAAGCATATGTAAACACATTTTGTGTTATGTTTACAGCAGGAGTGTAATGACATCACAAGTGGCTTTGTAGAGCATTGTCTTTCATACTGAATTTGCTTTTGCTAATTTAAGCAACAAATGCACAGCGCTACAAACATTACAGAGCTATGATCATAACCTTCACTCTGTGTTGATGTGCTTATGTTCAGTGCTACCAAAAAAAAAACCCAAAAAACTTTAGTTGTATATATAGTATTAAGCTGTTCTCATCAACCGTAATTCACTTATAGTGCAGCATCGATTATGTGTGTTTGGTGTACTATGAAAATTTGACTTGAAAGCTGCAGGAATACGATACCTGATTCTGAAACACACTTGGGTTTTTTTTTACTAAAACTGGAGAGTGTAAAATCACGCTCACTTCTACATAGAAACCAGTTTCCAGATTTTTCTTGCCAAAGCTTAATTGAACAAGCTGAGGTTGGAAGATTGATTGGTTTCTATGCAGAAGGGAGCCATA